TTTGATACCCTCAGGTAAAACTGATTCCCCAAATACTGATGCCCGCAGGCCTGATACCCAGACTTGCAAACTGATACATGCGTTCCTGTAGAGGCACACTCCTAAAAGCACATAATTAAGCAAGTAAGAGCCAAAAACACCCCTATGGAGGGGTAGGGTTTTCCTGTCTTGTCTTGTCAGGAGCTAGGGTTTCACTACGCATGCAGTGGTTTCAAACAACCTATAATCGGGTAAGCAACTTATCCTAGCTTGGAATGGTCACTACAGTTTCCGATATGCAACTAGGTCAAATGGTCAAAAAAGGTGCTCCGGTAACAACCGGGGTTTGTGTTCCCATCGTGGCAGAGCCTGTAATCGGTCAACCTTATGGCACTCAGCCTCTGGCAAACTGTTCAGGAATAGCAGACGACAAACACTGTGACTTAGGCGCACCAATGCAAATGCAATGCAAAGAAACATATAAGTGTAAACAAAACAACATATCCACGAGTTCGAGTCAAGCTCTCTAAATCTCCAGCAGAGTCGCCAGAAGCTGTAGCACGTCCGCGAGGGGGGACCTCACTACAGTTCAGACTCGATTTGTGTCACGGTTCTTAATCTGAACCAAAAAGTCCGAATCCGGCAAATCGTTTTGAGAAACATATTTTTAGAAAAAGAAGTGCCAAACATGGACTGCTTTACCAGATACAAAGTCGCCACCTAAATATTTTTTGTGGGGGAATTTAGGAAATCCTGACTCGGTGCCGAAGGCCACATGTCCGTCATCACCAGAGTTGCCTCAGTTCGGGAGCTAGGGTACGATTGGGGAAGGTTAGCTATAAGCACCCCCTCTCGCCCGATCCGAAGATCGGCTTCTACTAACCGTAATATCCGTTTTTGAAAACGATATGTGTTCTTAAACCGATTATTAGCCTAGAATTACAATGTTATGCGCACAGCAAACAAGTATAGACTAGATTGCCTAATTTGGAAATAAGCATTGCATACCCGTTTGTCTTAAAAAAAACACTTTGGAATTTGTTACTCGCAAGTAGGCTAAAAGACGGATTTCAATGAGCCAATCCAACTCAGACAATCCAACCTTCACCCACAAGCATTCAAACAGTTTATCACATAAGCATCTAGCCACATGGTAAGCATGCCGTCATAATAGCATTCACACGTATGCGGTATGCTAAAGCATAAAATACTTACATCGTACTCCGTGCCAAAACAATAAACTAGTTAGTCAACATGCATGATCCTAGGTCATGTCAAATTGACTA